GAACAACCGCAACAGTCTCTGGTCGCTTGATTTGAAGTCCAGCTCAGCAGCCTAGAAGCCAGAGCTGCAGTTTAGGATATGGAAGAGATTCAGCTCTTAAAAGTCACAACAGAGTGACCCGGTGGGCAGTGGTTTGGCAGGGTACAGCCTTCCTGCAAGAAACAATCTTAACACAAGGCGCTGAGCTGTGCTCTTACACGACGGCGAGGTGGGATGGGAGTTGTAGGCTTCGCCGGGTCCTCCCGAGGGATGCCCCAGACCCCTGGGTCCTTTGGGAAGGGGGGTCCCTGGCACAGGGCATTATGTGAAGCAACACAGGTGCTCAGACCAGCAGGAGATGGTAAAATCCCAGTTATTTCCAATCTGGCTTATTTAGACTGGTAGATAGAGTTACTCACAGGACATGGGCTGCCGAACACCCTCTCCTACAATTTGAAGGCAAGTTTTTAGGGATTTAAACCAGGACACTACATTTACAGTCTGCTTAGAGGTATTTTGGGTCAGAGACACCAAACGCAGAAGTAATATCCGTGAGTAGAACAAAGCAGCTGCTAATACTTGTTTTTTGAGTCTTGATTTCTTCCTGTCTGCTTCTGGAGGTGACCCAGAAGGGCTTGGGACTGGGTTGGTCTGCTCTCTGACATGGGCCACGACATGCGCTGCAATGCCCAGAGCTCATACCCCCAACGAAGGGGGTTGTAGACGGATTTTCTCCCCGCTCAATGCTCACACCAGGCACACACTATGGTGTGATGCAACATCACTCATCCGTACAGCCTGATGTACTACCAGGCAGGGTGGACATGGGCCGGACAGCGCAGCTGCTGACTTCCAGTGCTGTTACAGCCATCTAAGGTATTTCCTCTGGCATTAGCATAGAGGGCATTGATACGGACGCTGTAAATATAACACCCTAGGAGCATAATGTCCATAAGCATTGACGATGCACAAGCAGTGTTATGCAAAACCAAGTCATGCAATGTTAGTGAAGCAATCTGCAGGAGAAGCTGGATGAGAAAGGCCTGGCTTTTAGACTTGAGCTTTCCTGTTGCTGAAACCCCCAGCAGCTCGCGCTGGTCTTGGACACAGAAAACATTTCCATCGCTGTTCCCTCGCTCTGCCCGCTCATGGAGCTAGCTCGCTGCTCTTATGCTATTCGACCATAACTGAACTTCACTTTGTGGAAAATGTGAGTGAGAAATGCATCTCTCTTCCATGAGCAAGTGAAATCTTTGGATGTGTTTTAAGTGCCTTCGGCTGGAGTGGAAAAGCAGAGATGGAAGGGAAGAAAAAAAAGGGCCAGGCAATGGCTGCAGTAATTTGTTTAGAATAAAAAATTTTTTAAATTAGTCACAAGCCCTGAACTTACTCACATTTACTGGGTATATGAAGTGTAAAAAGCTGATTTAGAAGAGCAGTTATAAGTTTCATAAACATGACTAAACCCTAAAGCTGAATGCTCAACAGGCGTGACCATTTAATTCCCCTTTAAATCAGTTTAGCACTTTCATTTGTGTTTGGAGTCCCTCATGTTTGGATAGCACTTTGATGATTTAAAGTACTATTTAGAGTTTTATTGTCTCTCCTGCTTCGGAGCTGGGACCGCAAATCCTTTGCTAAGTGGCTGGAGGAGTTTCTGCTTGCACAGGAGCTGCTGGGAGCACCAGCCTGCCTCAGCTGCGGCTCACCGGCACCCCCAACACGCTGCCATGGGACGAGCCCCTTTTCCTAGGGAGCTCCTAAATATAATCAGCAACCAGGAGCAACTCCTCCAGGAGTGGAAATGCAGTTTGATGCTTTTTGGTTTCAGATCCTTACAGAAGGAGCATATTAGAAAGAGAAAGACGGTGGCTTTGGGAAACCTCTTTGCCCAGCGAGGGACATTGCAAGCAGCCAGGATGCCGCAGGCGCGTGCCGGGGCAGCACACACCTCCCATGCCGTGCAGCATCCTCCCTGCAGCTGCAGACCTGCTGCATATGCACCGTGCAGTGCCCAAGGCACCTCCCCAGGTGATTACGCACAGCCGCCAAGGGGCCTCTCTCGAGCAGGAGGCCTGACTCCACATCCCGCGGGCTCCGGTCTTAAAACAGCACTGACCCCAAGTACTATTAAAAAAAAGTGATCTAGACCTGAAGGCAAAGAGAGGCTTGTCACAGGCATCGTGCATCCATGGACCAGCCCCCCCTTGTGCTGCAAGGTGATGTGCAGGCAAGGGCAGTGCAGGTCAGCTTTTACAGCTCTCAGCATCCGCTACTCCTAGCACCGGGGCTTGTGGGCACACACAGGGCTTCTCTGCACCGGAATGAGACATAGGTTCATTTGCCATGGACGGCTTCTAAGCCCACCTCATGGGCACTCCAGAGACAAGGGCTTTCTCCTCACCAGCTTTCCGGCTGCACTGCCCTGAACGGGTACAGGAAGAACAAACCTTGCACTTTAGGAGAAGCTGCTCACAAGCACTCCTTCCTCACTGGACACATCAACCAGAGGCTGTGCTGGAGCCAGGGGCTCCCAGGAGCACAGCAAGGCCAAGCTAATTACAAGGATTCAAACACTTTCAAACACAGAGCATCTCATATGCTCAGCTGCTCGTTCCTGATTCCCCACACAGCAGTGTCAGGCTGCGAACAGGGAGCATATCCCCATTGACTTCAGCCAGATTACCCCGTTCCCTGTCCGTGCGGATCCAGACCCTGCTGCGCCCACGCTCTTTCAGGCAGAGTGCTCATCACCACCACACCTGGGAGCAGGCTCACCCAGCCTGGCGAGGACAGGGGGTGGCACAAGCTCAGCGGAGCGAGAGCACTGGCTGTGTGCGGCCGCTGCACCGTGCGGGTACGAGTGACCTTGGAGAACAGGATGGAGGGAGGAATTCGTGTTAACAGCACACTTCAGCTGCCCCCCAGCCCATTGCAGCAGAATGTCTGACGGTGAGCAGACCTCAGCACAGCACCAGCAGTAATTTCATCCTCGGCTTCATTTTCAGAGTTAAAGCCCTACGCACACCCCTTAGCCATTTTAGTTATGAGTCACCAAAAAATGCCAGCTTTAGCAACGCGGCTCAACTTCTGCAGGGCTGGGTACGTACCTCCGCCACCAAAGCCAACGTCCTGCCACGCCTGCCTGGTGCGAGAGCATCCGACGAGTGTGCCAGTGCCGGCTGGGCAGCCCTGCGCCGGGGAAAGGCCAGTGGAGCGGTGGGGGAAGAAGCCGTCACAGCATCAGGCAAGGAGGTTTCTTGCTAGCAATGCGCCACGGGGGTTTCCTATGCTGCTGCTTTTACTCTGCCTTTGAAGCTTGCGCGCAGAGCCGGCAAGCCCCGCTGCACCCCGGCACACCCCTGAGCCCTCAGGGAAAGGGACAGGATCCCTGGAGACGCAGAGAGGGTTACCCAACCCTACATCCCGGTGTGGCACGCGGGGTTGGATTTTCCAACCCAACCGTGCGCTGACATGCAGGGGTGGGGCGGGGGAAGAAAAAGAGGATTTCAGCTGTAAACTCCTAAGAAATGGAGGAAAAAACATGCTGCTCCTATATACATGACCCCGATCAACAGGGGAGTCTCCCATGAGCTGGTGTGTGCGATGCCGCAGCGGTGCCAGCTGGGGGGATGCTAGGTTTTTGGTGGAAAGAGGAACACAGAGGCTGGCAAAGGAATTTGCTGCTTCGGTGCATGTTTACAGCCTTCCACGGCGTGCTGGGGAGGAAGCGGTTTCTCTAACCCAAAGGGGAAATGCTCGTCTGAAACAGGAAAATGGAACTTTCTTTTGAGCATTAATAATGGAAAATCGCCTCTGCAACGGCTGTCTGTTGAATCCCTGGGCGTGCAGCGGGGAGAGGATGCTTGGGGAGAAACACCCTGCCCCACTGTTGGCTTGCTTGGGACCCCAGGTAGCCCTGGGGAGCTGATGCTGGCACAGGCGCAAGGGGGAAGATGCTGGGGTTTTGGGGGGGCAATGGCAGAGTCACTGAGCACCCTAAGGACTCTGACATTGCCCCGGCCGAGCGGATCCCCCCCAAAACCCCAGCATCCCCCTCCCCAGCTGCGGGAAGAGAGGGTCTGAGTACCACAGCGATGCTGGCAACACACTGGACGCACACTGGACACACAGGCAATTCAGGTTCTTAATTTAAAGAGAGAGATCCGATTCCTTCTATTTCTTTTTTTTTTTTAAGTGAAATTGTTTCTAAACTAAATATTTCTCTTAAAAGAGGCTATTTTTAAGGCAAGCGGCATGACACGGTATTTATGGACATAACTCCAGCGCCAGTCCCCAGGTACCGATTTAGCAAGCAGCGGCTTCTCACTGATGAGCTGCAAATGACTGCGGCATCCTTTAAAGAAGTAGAGATCATGGGTTTCTTATTAAAATCCAGCTAGCCTTTCTCAGAACAGCACTGTTATGGTTGAAGAGGATGCTCGAGCCATTTTCTGGTCCAAAAAAGGACAAGAAGATGAAAGGTAGTTATATCTAGCCATATAATCGCGAGGGCACTGGCGGAAGCGATACAATGAACCCATTACAAACATGGGTGTAGCAAAGCCAGAGTTTAGCTCATTGTGTCTTACCATTTCTAAATATATTTTATCTTGGGTGAAGAGCAAGAGAGAATAGAAATGAATGTAGGGAAGGCGCCCGGTTCTCCGAACGACCGGGGGTTTTGGTAAGGCAGGAGCCCACAATCTCTGAGGCTGCGTCTGTGGGCAGCAGCCGGTTGTTGAAGTCCTTCTGCTGCAGGCGACTATGCTTAGCTCCTCTTAGAGGGTAAGGGAAGCAGAAGAGGAGGAAGAAAAACTTAGTCATCTTCTCCCCTCAGACATTTTGCTGTTCATTTACTTCAGCAGCACATGAATCACTTAGTCACTTGGTCTCCTACAGGCTTTTTCTAATTTTATTTTTCCAAATCAAAATAAAAAGAGAAAAAGGAGGTTCCTTCCCAAATAAGCAGCTAGTGGAGGAGGCTGGGGGGAGTGAGCAGTGAGTGGCCAGGACTTCACCCCACAGTTCAGCCGGCTGCTGCAGACACCCAGGAGAGCGTTTGCAGAGTGCAGGAGGAGAGGGCAGGCGCTGCCGCTTCCTCTCGCTCTGGCTCAGTGACAGCTCGATGAGCTGCTTCAGCAAGCCAAGGTGCAAAGCATCCTCTGCTGCCTCCGGAGCTGAGATCTGCTTCATGCCCCCCTAACAGGCAGTTGGTACCTGCCCTCGCAGTGAAATCATTTGCAGTGTTACAACACACCGCTCACGCTCCAAGTGTTTTCCAGCAGCAAGGCAAGAGGAACCTTGCCACCTAAACTACACGTCCAGCTTGGATGTCCTCCATTCTCCAACCCAGAAATACCAAGGGCAGAGCAGCAATTCCTTTGGGGCTGATTTTAGTAAGCCAGCAACCATAGCCCTCGCATTAAAGGAGTCCTTAAGGTTAGTGACTTTTGCCAAAACTGGCTTGCTCCAACGGTGCCGTAGGAAAACTCAGGACAGCTAGTGCCCTTCCAGACTCCTCTCGCCCTCGGGAGCTCAGAAAGCCCTTGGCACTTGGCACCGTCCCTTCCTCCAGTGGCAGGCACCAGCACAGGCACCTGCACTGAGATGCATGCCGGTGCCAAGACGCTGCCTCAAAAGGGAGAGCATGAACGACAGCAAGAAACAAAAAGCCTCTGAACGCAAACGCAATCGAGAGACGGGCTTTTGGTTTCTCCCCTCCGCACAGCATCTCGAAGGGTCTGAGGACAGGAAGGCAATCCCCAAAACCCATCTTCTTCCCCCATCACAGAGCAAACCCGCTTGGCGTGGCGGTAACCCAGCGCATTTTACAACTGACTCGGGATGGGGTTTTTGGAGGGCTCAGAAGGCACCCAGGTGGCTCACAGCTTCCTGTTGCTTCAGCTTTACTACAAAGCAACATAAATAGGTCTTCATTCTTTGTTGATGTTTGGTGCCGTACAGCAAAACATGCATTGTTAACCTAAAAATAGGAAACGCTGTGGCAGCTTTGAAGAAATTCAGCGTTTTTCCTGTACTGATACAAACACAGTGGCCGAGTGCCAGATGCCTCCGTCCTGCTTTGAAGACCGATGAAATTCTTTGCGACACTCATAAATTACTGCTTTGTTAGCACCCGGCAAGCTCCAGCGACACCAGCAAACCCTGGTATTTCCTTCTTCTCCCTCGTAAGGGCGGGGGGGAAACTTAATGTTACATTTCATCCCCGTGCAGAGACGGACAGTCCCGCTTGCCTATCACCGAGCCGAGCGCAGGCGGAGGTTGCTAAGACACCCGCTGACGCACAGCCGGGCCCCACTTCTATATTTTTCCATTACACGGTGTTGAAGCTTGCAGAGCAGGAGGTAGCTTTCTTGAGCGAGCTATCGAGAGATCAGCGAGAGACAGCAGGATCCTGCAGGGCATGCTGTGCGCTATTTACGCTATGTTTAAACGAAGGAGCGCACGACAGAGCCAGAAATCTGCCTTGTTCAGAATAAACACGCGCACGTTTTCAGATCTGGCTTGGAAAAAGGGCACACCTACTACTACACTTCTCAGAGTGCGAGTATAGAAAAGCCGAGGTCCCAAGCAGAGCGAGGTGCGGGTGGAAAACCAAAAATTCCTGGTGGCTTTCCCTGGGGAGCACAGCGGTGACTCCTGGGGGAGGATGCGCTGGCACAGTCCCCACTCCAAAGTGTTACATGCGGTACGTGGACGTGCTGGGACCAGGGCAATGTGGCTGCACGAGCATGGGCACTGCTGCCACTCCCTTTACTGGGGTCCTACCCGCAAGGATGCCCACCCGACTGCTGGGCCATCGCCCCCAGTGCAGTTTAAGGGGGCTTAGCCAGCCCTGCACGTGCTTGGGGCAGACCTCTGCCTTGCAGCATGGACAGAGAGCAGCAAGCAGAGCCTAACCAGCCACAGCCTGAGCAGAAACGTGACCCCATCCAAGAGCAGCCGCTTGCCATAAGGTCTCTCCCAGCTCCATGCTTTGGTGGCTCTAGGGGTCAAGTCTCTCCAGGAGATGTTAATCTTAGTTCATGGACTGATTTTAACCCACCCGCAGCACCGAGGCTCCTCTCCCACTGCCGGGTGCCGGCAACCACGGGGATGGTACCTCAAGCAGCAGCTCGGGGCAGCAGCCTGCCCAGCTTCTGCAGAAAGCCAGCACTATGTGACACCTCTGGTCATGCCTTATCTATCTCCCATGGCAGCTCGAAGCTGCAGGCCAGACTTGTGAGCTACTAAAAGCCACCAGACACAGAAATTTATGCAGTTTTTAACCTCCCCAGAACCTCAGAGATGGGCAACTGAGGATCATCAAGCCAGTTTTTGGGCATACCCACTCCAAGTACAACTCAAACATTTTAGAGGATGGAGGATGTTCCTTAGAAGTCCACCTAACCATTGAACTGGTTTACACATCTCCTCACGGTGTAATTTCATTGTGGCAATTCAGGATTAACATTTTAGGGTTAGAGTTTCCTCTTCGGTTCAGTTATTGCGCTGTGTTCGCAATCCTATTTGTGCCTCCCTGGTGTGGACAGAAGTACAAATCTCAGCATTTCGTTCCCATGCAGGGATCTCCTGCCCTGCAGGGTTAATTCCCCCACCACTTCGGGGTACTGTGCAAGTATCAAGGGGCTGCAGCTGCTATCACAAAGCCACCCCACTTAGCAGCATGCTGGCTCGCAGTGTGGCAATCCTGTCCTCGGAGTCAGGGACTGGCAGACAGGCGTAGAACTAAAGTATTAGTTCAGTGGTACTGAATCATGGCTTAGGAAACCTCCGCTTCCTGAAGGAAAAAAAGAAATGGAAAAAATCCCCAGGCATTTCCAAGCTCTTGAGTTGCTCCCGTTGTTGGAAATGGAAGGAATGAAAGGAAGCTACAGAAAGGCAGTTTCACCTATGGGACGATCTCGAGAAGTTCCCCTTATCTCCCTTGGAGATTCCTATCTGAAAAACAAGTCCAGCTCTTTACAGAAAGATGCTGAGACCTTCACAGTCTCAGACTGAAGAGTACCAAGATCAACTAGAAATCAGAAGTTACTTTTCAGTACTTCAGCTTGGGGCTAGTTGCTTTTTGGCAACTCTGCTGAGGTCCACTGCCTGGCTGGCTAGCACTGTTCGGAGCCACTGTTTGGCCTGTGCAGGATAAGACCTGATTGTTTTACTGCAAACAAAGTCACAACTATGTGCAATAGCATACGGCTGCCAGGGTCTCTCAGAGATGTAATGTTAGAGGTTCCCTGGCCTTACAAGGAATGAGAAGGAGAGATCTGCAGAAAATAAGCTGTACTGCTTTGCAAATGCACTGTCCCTGTCGCATGGCAAGCTACTAATAAAACCGATATTTGCATTTTTTGCATAAGACCATTTTGGATTCACTGTTCCTTCACCTGCACAAACACCAAGACTCTCTGCATGAAAAACAAGTCAGGAAGCTACTGGTGAGAAAGTGGCATTTCTGATGCTACAGCTACAGGAATTACTGAAAAGGCTTCATGTGCTCCCTCTTAGAGCCCGCAAAGCGCTTCAAACCGTGGCCACCAGAAGACATCTGAGTCCCAGTGACAGCTCTGTCAGTGGAGGAGGCTCACACCTCCTTGCCAATGCTACACTGGCACTACATGGCTAGGATGTGTGGCTAACTAGGGACACGTCCCCAGGCCACCACCAGAGAGGAGGATTCATTTCTCCTGAGCCAGCATCTCCGAGATGGCTGAGCAAAGCCGCTGCCGGCACTCTTCCTGTGCATAGGTCCCGGGCCAAGAGTGCGATTGCCACCCCGGGGTTAGCTACCAACCACACACCAGCACTTGCAGAGCTCTGCACAGGAGCTATGCAAATCTTATGGCTGAATCCTCTCTGTTCCTAATCACAAATGTAGTTGCTCATGCAAAGATGGTGCACCAAGCTAGGGACTGCCTGGCCCGTTGCCACAGCCCGCTCACCCCTGCTTGATGGGAAGGCAGGGACCCTCAGCACCCAGCGGTGCCACCAGCCTCAGCTGAAGCTCCAGCTCACGAGGGCAGATGTAAAAATCTCACAAGACCTAAGTCTGTGAGTGTTGTTGCCCAGGCAGTGGTACGATGGACACAGCAGCAGAACCAAAAATCCATAAATAAAAGTATTTAATCTTGGCCAAAACATGCCTATGGAAACAGCAGCACAGGTCTGTCCCTCTCACGTGGTCGTAGGGGGACATGGCGCAAGTAGATGGAAGGTGTCCTATTTTATTCAGCTTATAAAAAACTGTAAGCTTTTTAGGGCGTTACATTCAGTCATTCTGGAATGGAAAAGTTTATATGCTGGAAACAGTGTCTTGCTAATGAACTAAGGTATTTTTAATAGCCAGGGTGTTAGAGGTACTAACAAAAAACGTGTTGATGAGGTGATTATTTGTGACGCCCGCTGATGTCCCAGACAACAACAAAGTACTCACAAGTCAGTGACTAGCACATCCCGGACAACTGGCTAGATCTGGGGGGGGGTAGAAGGGGGGATTTCGGTTTTCTGTAGAGAGATGTAGTTAAAAAAAAGGGTCACTGAAAGCATCTGGAAAAATGACAGCTACAGCAAGCAGCTAAGAGTCTCATCTGGAAGATGCAGGTCCCATTAAAGGGTTGTTAATTTGAGTTCAAGCAGCTTCAAAGGAAAGGAGCAAAAGTACTCGCAGAACCGAGGATCTGGGCAAAACCAGGAGGGAAGCTGCAGCCGTGTTTCAGCCGCACAGCAGCCAGCGGTGGGATTCGGGATTGGCAGCAGAGCTCACCACGTGGGCTCTCGGTTTCAAGCAGAAAGCTTTAAATGTGGGGGGGACAGGTAATGCACACATGGGGCACACCCCTTCGCTCCACAGCACTTTCGCTTCCTTAGATCAGGAAGGGGACAATATAAAAAGTTACCTACTCCAAGGGACTGGTCTGAAGAGCTGGATTTAGTGAGTCAGCCCCGGGTCTTGTCGAGTCATTGGAAAATATGAACACCCCCCCCCCCCCCTTAACAGAACCCCCGCCCTT